TAATTGCACATTAACATGTCATTCACATATAGCGAATATTCACATTTCATAAGCAATAGAATACAAGAATACTTTGATCCAAGTATCTGCAAAGTCCTAGTTATTCTGTGTTAGCAAATTAAAGTCGCTGTGAACGTTCTGTGCGCTTCAAATATGCAAGTGTCTCAAAAGACAACAGTGCTCCATTATTACTTAGGATATGTTACTTTGTACAAAGTCTCATATTCTAAAAAAAAATTTTCTCTTTTCGATCAATGAATTAAGTATTGACATGTTTTGAACATCGTTTTTTCGAATAAGTCTTAAGGATGAAGAATAAAGAATAGCACGTCTTCTTCTTCTCTATGTCTTTGACGCATTTGAGATTATTCTTTCTGAGAATTCATTCGTCAGTGATAATGTACCGTATAAGTTTGTTTCGTAAATTCGACAACGAATTTTTTGTTTCAGCTATACCAGTGTTGCTGATAGTCTTTTCTACTGATGGAAAGTTTACAAGAAGACAGTATGAGTATGAGGCAATTTAAAAGTTATAACACTGGCAATCAATAATGTCAGCGCAGTCATTAATGCGGGCGCGATTAATGATGTACCCACCAATGTCTGATATGTTGTGGTTCCTATCAGACCTGATATTCTTATAGCTGCTGCTATGAGTCCAAAACCGGTACACCTATAGAAACATATTAATAAATACTTTCTTTCAAAATAATTTTCAATGTTTTTTCTCTAATATCCTAAAGATTTTTACTTCTTTACCTTAAGTGTGTGGGGAAGCTCTCGACTGTCACCAAAGTTAATGATGTCCATCCAACGGCAAAAAGAGCTGTGAAGCCACCTTCGAAACCAAGAACTGCCGAACTGTTTTGGCGAATTAATATCAGACATAATGCAACAACGGAAGAGAAGAGAAGCGAGAGACCTATTGGTAAAAGAGAATAAATGTCATAAATGAGTTGAAATTTTCCGCTTGCTATTTTCAAAGAAATTTAATAACTAACCAATTAGTTTTGGCCGCTGAAGAACGGTAAGTGCCAAACCTGCTAGCGCAGCAGCAGGTACAAAAGCCAATTGAGCAACGAGATGAGCATGTAACGCTTCCTCGATATAAATGTTGTAATCGAGATCGAGAGTTGGACAGGACCCGCTTAAACTCAGCTCCGTATTATTTTCCAATTTACATCTGGTGAAAACTTGTGCAGACAAATCTGTGTCAACAAATCTGTAACAAAGTGTGTGTGTGTATGTATGTATATATATATATATTCGTACTTTATATTTATATTGATGAATTTAAAACATTTATTAAAAAATTTAAAATGTATGTATAGATTTAGAATATAATATAAATGATGTTACTTACTTTGAATATATAATAACACTGTCTCTAAAGTGGGTTTTGCTAGACTTAATGCTACTGAATTCTACCGATTGGAAGGTACAATTGTCAAAATCGACATGGCTGAATATCATTTTAGTAAATCTGTAAACATTTAAAAATTATATTTATATAGAAAAAAAATACTTGTTAATTTTTTGTATTGGTACGTATTTATATAATAATTAAATAATATCCGTACTTGCAGTTTGAAAATGTAGAGTCTTTGTACTGACGATTTTCCCAAGAACCAGTAAACGTTGTACCATTATATTCCTGTCTACCATAGTATTGGGTATGAGTCTCGTATTCCATCGCTCGTAAAAGTTTCAGATATTCAGGACACCATATCATAAGACCGTAAATACTGATCAAATACAAATAGAGTGAGTTTATAAAATTCTTAATTAATAGTAATTACCTAAAACTTTTAGATAATTAATTAAAACTTACCTGAATGAAGCGGTGGTCCAGATAATTAACAGTACTAAAGTCACTCGCAAATGAGGCGTCGCAAATAATTCCAGGAAAGAATTCCAGAACTACGGGCAAAAAATGAATTAAATTTTATAGTCAAGATATATCTTTATATAATAAGATATCTTTCAGAAATATTTACCATTTCGATTGAATATATTATATCTGCCAAAACACTAGTGTGATTGCTAGGAGATGGTGGTGCCAAGCCACGTGGTCTTTTAGTTGGAAGTTCAAGTTCAGAAAGTTGATATTGAGCACCTGCTGCACCTTTTCGGGCGTTATTTTTCTTATATATCCTCTGAGACATAAATTATTAATAAATTTGAATATTAAATACCAAATAATTAATTTTATCGTTTATGTTACACATTTTTACCTGATAAACCATCATTGCTTCTACATCTCGACCGGCTTCTATAAGATATCTTGGACTTTCTGGTAGAAAGATAAGCCCGAATGTGGAGCACAACGCCGGCAAACAACATAATAACAAGAAACGATGCCAAGCACTAAAGTGTTCCTTATTCTCCAGGACAACCATTTCTCCTGTTGTAGGTACCACTGCCCAAGCCAAGAGTGCTGCATAGACACCACCGAGTGCACATGCTGCCACGAGTATACCTGTCCAGCGACCTCTACTTAACCGTGGGCAGCATTCTGCAAGATATACGTATGCTAGAGGTACAGCTCCTCCTACTCTGTAATATGATAAATTAAATCACTATATAATAATATTTAAGTAACCACTTTAGTTCTTGCTTGAAAAAATACTGAATGTATTTAAATCTTTGAATAAAAAAAATTACTTACCCAAGAGCAGAGCAAAATCTAGCGGTCATAAAAGTGCCATAAGTGGGCATAAATGTTGCGACACCACTGAACAGAGAATGCACAGACATGGCTGAGAAGAGGGATCTGCGTCTTCCCAATCTATCTCCTAGACCACCCCAAAATAATCCACCCAGGGCAAGGCCAACGAGAGTAATATTTCCTAAAAAATTATGTTGTTTAGCATCGCAAAATATGTTTGCACAAAAGTAACAACTCACCGAGCCATCCCTTCTCATTATCCTCAATACAAAGTTCAACCTCTGCGCTTGGCAGTATATATGGTACAACAAAAATTTCAACAGTATCAGCAGCCAGACTCAAACCCGTGCAGAAAGCAGCAAATATTTGGAAATAACCAACACCAGCCTGTAACATCACATATTTTTCTTGATATAATTTTATACAATAGAAGTCTTATCATATGTTTTGCAGTTATATGATATTATAAAGTTAACATTTATATCAAACATTTATGAATAAAAATATAGAATGTATATATATATATTTTTTTACTACTGCACAGAATTGCACTAGAGCAATCCTTCCAATTCATGTCACTGTTTAAGAACAAAGAGTGTACACTATTTCAGCTATAAAAAGACAGATCTATAATTCTTCAAGTGTTAGTTAAAAAAGATGCTTCTTTTTAACTACAAATAAACAATAAATATATCATAATACAATCGTTTTTAATAATATCCTTTAAGGTATGTATTAGTTTCCCTTTGCTCCATGGAACGTATGTAACCTCCAATGCGTAACATCAAGTAAAAAATATTTACTGGGAAATCCTTCAAATAGCCCGGCACTTCGCGCGGTACGTATTTTGCCTTGACGGCCGAATCGTCCAGAGTTTCGCCCATTTTTGCAGAGAGAGAGAGAGAGAGAGGCTCCGACCCGTGAGAACAAAATCGTTCACTTCAGGTAAACGAACGACGACGCCATTTCGTCTAGGTTATGTTTTTGTTCTGCCTAGTATATTTTTATCTCGTACTCGATATTGGCAGAGCCAATCGAGCGACAACTCTCGATCACGATGATCGAGCAACTTGATCGATACTTGGATACGCCTCGTTTCGATAATGGTTCAGTGGTTGACTTCATCACGTTTGAAATGATCAGAAATGACTCATGGCTACTATCGTGAATACAGAGATAATGACGCGTTAATTATGTCAGGAAAATACGCTGCAGTTGTGATGAGAGAGTTAGGTAGGCAGTCGGTAATTTTATTTTTTATGAGTTTAAAAGACTTGCTGTCATTCTTGTTGAAGAAATTTAATACTGGAAGGTAGTTAATTACTTATTTTGATTAAAGATATTGTTGCAACTTGCTGTTTTCCAGCAAGAGACGCATGATACACTATATTTTCTCTAGCAAGGACACAATGTATTATTAACAACATTAAACAAAGATGTAATGATTCATTGTGTTACACTGTGTCCTTGCTGGAAAATATCTATTCTTGTTGTTTGTCAATATTAAACAAAGATGAAATGATCACTGTGTTTCTCATTGCAAAGCGCCAATTATTGTTCAGTGTTTTTAATACTAAAATAATTGATCATCTTTTATTATTAAATTGACCAGTACAGCACATAAGCTTGCAGTAACATTGCTGCAACATTTGCAATGTTATTGCAGTATCCTACTCTCTTCTAATCTTTTTGTTACTTTCTTTTCTTCTTTTTTTCCTTTCTCTTTATCTACTGATTCTCTGATTTCTCTATCCTCCTCCTTAGCTCTCCTTTTTTTCATTCTTTCTCTCAATTATTTTCGTCTCTTTAATTTCTCTACCTTCTACTGCGCTGAAACATTGCAATATTGTTGTAATGATCTGTGCTGTATGGACAATCAAATTGGCTAGTATTGGATTTTTCTAAGAACAAATATAACATTCTAAAAATATTCCTGCTTTTATGAGATGGGGCTATAATTTAGAAAAATACGATAATGAGGTTTGTCGAATGCAGAGATTTCATTCCGAAGGAATGAAACATAAGCTGCATCACCTGTTTGATGGCGTCTTCGTGAAACTGCGCCAGGAGGGTCGCATCCGCGGTGGAGTCGATGAGATCATGCTCCGCGGAATCGGCCGAGGCCGAGTTTACGCCAGCCGTGGCGACGTTCGCCGGCTGCGTCGTCATCTCCTCAGTATAGAGACCGGATCTAGTGTTCACGCCGCGCTCGCCGGCGCCCGTTTTCGTCGCACTGCCGCCGGAGGGTGCGAGGCCGCCCCCGCTGCCAACAAGCCACTGGCTTTCCTCCTCCGATGAGGGCATCACTGCCAGAAACCATCTGGAAGCGAGATTAACGGATAATAAGACAATGACTGAACGTTGAACGGCTAATGCTTCGTTAATCCCATCCTCTGACGGTATCCTACCGGTACTGCTCGCAATAATTACACTTCCCATGTCTCTTAGGACAAATGGCTATCGTAGTTTTGCTATAATGTGTCTCTACTTCCATTCTAGATATTCTCAGCGAACTGAACTTGAAATCGTAATATCTACAATTATGGCAGATAGATTGCCTCTTGGTATGTTGTATTCTGCATTAGTGCAGATAAGATAAAATGAGCGAGCCGAGATAAAGGTAGGAATATTGAGTCAATATTGACGTTTGAAAGACAAAGCCGGAAGTTGAAATAATTTGAAGCGGTAAGTAATTTGCTAGAATAAGCTAATTTTCTTCGATAGAAGCACAGAGATGGAGGCTATTTTATTATACACACACACACACACACACACACACACACACACACACACACACACACAGCCCGCGTCATCGTAACTTTCGCGGCTGCTTTTTATTTCTATTCGCGACGCTTCGTTTGACTGACGCTATCGATATAACATTAAACGCGGTACTTTGCGTCGTGACGTAGAGTAAAAAATGATCCTTTGACAATATATTTAATAATTATATTATAATTGTATCTCACTAGAGCATTGTTAAACATTTTTACGGTACCGACTGATTGTAGATACAAGTAATTGATTGTAAATACAAGTCTTAATACTAATATCTATTCGATTTATATATGTATTGCAGTTATATGGTTTGTCATGCGCTGCACGTGCTTATAGAAAGGCATGCGTCACGTCTCTGTCTATAAACGCGGTTCACTGACCAAGGTTCATTGTGCACGATATTTGTCATAGTGACAAGTGAAATATTCAATATTCGCGACTTTATTTTGTCCGTGGTTGCGAGCCAACGATAAATGAATTTACATATTTAAGGCTACGGAAGAGAAATGCACGTTATATTTACATATTGCGACAGTAATCAGGAGTCGGAGAATTACAATGTTCGAAAAAGATTGATCTGAATAATAATTATAAATAGATTTACATATTTTCATAAATAATTTTTATGTATTTTTTACAGGTAGTTTATGCGAAATTGTATTCTTGGAAATTCTACGGATTCTACGATGGATCTACAGGCTCAATGTTGACCTTACTCGGTCGTCACAAAGCAACCGGAGCAGCGTTCGCGTGCACTTATTGTACTTTCGTGGCTATAATTCAACGTTTGTGAGCCCGCATTGAAACACGCGGCGGTCGTATGTCCTACCAAGGCTAATTCCCGGAATTGGTGCAAGACTTGCCGGCAACGCGCGTAAAGTTTTCTCTTTCGCGTGTCCTTACATACTAATTCATCGATCTGCATTTTTACATGGCTTTCAGTATACTGGTATACATAAAGTTTGATGAAAATTGCAGAATATGTAGAAGTAGATAGAATTTATGCGAAAGAACAGAAAGTTTTTCTAATGTTTTGGAAAAAGAAATTGTAATACAAAATAATGCATATTATTATAGGAAGTTTCTCGTTAACGCTTCGCTGACCGCAGAACGACAAATGCTCGCCCTTATCAGTTTTATCTCGTGAAAAGGTGTAATATTACGTCAATGGTTACCAGCTACGAGGAACAAAAAGACGCTCTACTACGTCAACAATCGCAAAAAAGGTGTTAAAATTGTACTCTTCTGTCTTTATGGCGATATTGGCTCTTTCGGAGCTCGCACGCGTACGTTAACGTTGCAGCGATATTCCGATGAATTTTCGCGTATGTAGTTTATAATTAGTACATTTCGCAAAACGTGTCGGCGCTTTGTTACGGGCGCGACCGCATATGTACACGATTTATCGATCCGAAACCGATTATATGGTTCCATAGCGCGCGTAAACTCGTGTACACATTTTCCAAACAATACAAGCGCGAGCGCGAACACAAGCATACGCTAGTTGAGCGTGTGCGCATCCGCCTGTATACACGTATCAACCTCGCGACCGCCAATGTCGTCGACAGTCACGGCCGCGCGGCGACTCGCTTTTTCGCAGTTCTCTATTTTCTCCGTTAGTTATTTCTGAAATGCGACCATACAGTAGCGTCCGTCATCGGTAGACATTAGTGTTTGCCTTTACTGGGCTTTACACACGAGAGCGTCTCTTATAGAAGAAATACTTTACTCACAGGGAAGTGTCATAACTGTGTTGCAACCGACTAAATTCTTTTTAACATATGTTGTTAAACACAAAAATCTGAAAGACAGGTATTTTATATTGGCCCAATATGAGACTTGAGGGATATACAACCCCTAAAAACTAGATTTATGCCCGTATTAATAGTCAGACCTTGTACTTAAGACTTCCTTAGATTTGTCTTTAGATGCTCAATGAAATAATTCGTAGAGTATCTAAAGATAAATTTAAGGAAGCTTGAAATATAAAGCCTATGAATATTAATGAGAAATGGGGACATTAGATTTTTGACAAATATACAGTTATATAAAATATATAAAAACTATAAAAGTTTTGTCTGAAATACTTCTATATATGTCTTCTTTTTTTAATAATTAAGTAGAATCAAAGTAAGCATTGGCTTTGAGAGTACTGGCGGATCCACAGAGAATGCGGGCCATACCCCCTTCTTGGAATCTTTATTTTTTGAAAAATTTATAGTAAAATATTATATATATTTTTAACATTTCTGAAATGCTGAATTACATCTTTGATGTTCCAATAAATTTTTTTAAGTTAAGAAACTCCTGAATATAAAAAAATACAGATTCCATTATATTATTCTTTTCTTGAATTGAGATAATTTTAAATAAAATGTTTTATGATTTACAACTAAATAATACTTTTTCAATATAATGCCAATAATAATTTAAGTACTCTATCTTTTCATATTTAACTTTAAAAAAATTTTGTTTGGGCGTGCCAGTATTTATAAATTTCAAATTGGACCAATATAATAAAATATGTGTATCTTAGATTTTTGTTTATATTTCAAAGAGAATCGAATCGGTTCCGGATAGTTGCAGCAGATCTCGTGTTGGTTTCTTAGACGCATATTTTGGAGTCGATTTTTCTTTGATGCTTAAATTCTCGACGCTTTACATGCAAATAACAAAACCAGACATCTGATTTATATTGGGACGCGTTTATTTAGACAGAAATTTCATTCGAGATATTTACTTGCTAAAATATTCGACGTTGCAAATTGCAAGTCTCGACGAATGACGAATGACATCCTGCAACGTTTTCGCTAAGGAGATTGGCTCCGAATTGCATGCCAGAAATTTGTCTGTGATGTATAATTACACATGCGAGCGCAACGTTTTATTATTTCATGTTGCAGGTATACAACTTTCGAAGACGTTCGCCTTGGAGGAATCTAGATAACAATTTTAAGAATGTTATGAGATATGACGTATCAATTTATATTTCCAACAAATTAATTTATCACGATGTCAATGAGACAAGAAAAACATTCCGCAGTTAATTAATGCGAGATGGTCTTGCGTGTATTTGCCGACGCGCAGTTGTCTGGACTTATACAATTGCATGCTCATTATCACCGTATTCGGCCGCTGTCGACACATATGCACCGCACGTGGGACCAACGCGATATGCATAGATAAGTACGACCGATGAACACGAGCCAAATGACGATGCGTTGCGTAGAGAGAAGTGAGACACGCAATTTATAAAGCTTATTTCTTGGACACAAATGTGAGTTTATTCCAATTATCGCGCAAAACCAGTCGTCAAAAGAATTGCATATATCTATTAATTACTATAATAACTCGTTTCTTTCGATTGGAATTAATGTTGCTTGTAAACGGGAAACTAGATCGGAATAAGAGGAAATCTGTTAACTGAGGCCTTCACGTTCAAACGGTTTTACAAAGTAGCGCAGTTGTGGTATTGATGTCAGCGCAATTTTTCATCAAACAGTGCTACAACATTAATGAAATACCAAGATAACTTTCTAAATGTAACATTTATTCAACACAAAGAAGGTCATATCTGATCAAAGCGGATCTTGATAAATATTTTTGGGTGAATCTCAAGTCCATTCTATAATTGTATTAGCGTTGTAAGTAGTTGTATTTGTAAAAATTAATTAATGACAATTCTCTTCATATTCAACCGTGACTTATCAATTTTTATAACTGCAATCACTAGACTGCGAATATTTATGCAAAATACTTAACTGAATATTAATCATCAGACAGTTTCAGCAGTCGATGTTCGTTAAAGAATTATTAAAAAATAAAGTAAAAAGGTTGAGATTATGCCATCTGTAAATATGCAATTTATGCAAAATATTCAGTTAAGTATTTTACATAAATATCCGCAGTCTACTTTTCAATTCTTACAACTGTAATCACTTATAATTATACTTACAATTGTAGAATGGACTTTATAATTTTCAATTCAAGTAAATTGTTTCGATTATTCATCGGTTTTGAAACAATCCTAAACGGAAGCTGGAGTATGTAATTAAATTGACAAATTAAATTGACAAGTAATTTAATATTATTGATGCTAATAGACATCTTTTTAAAGCACTTTAAAGAATTTACTGCGCAAAACAATCATCGAGATTTGAACTTGGCTCCCTCATAACATTTATTACTTTCTTATTCTATCATTCGAACTTTATTCAAGGCCGGTCTATTTTTTCGCGCGTCACATCGTTTGTTTGGCCTTCTACGTCTTTGTAGATAAAAGAGAAAAAAATGAGGAAAGATATAGAAAGTACAATCGAGAAAAATAGACGCACGTACGTATGTCGTCATCGCAGTCGGGCGCGAATTAATATTATTAGAGTCGGTTATCATGACTCTCTTATCGCGCAATGCATAAATCACTCACCTGGTTGATAGGAAGTCGCCGTGAAATACTGCACCTTCCCAATGATAATGCCGTTTTTCCGTTCACAGATTTCACCGGGATGGAGAAAATCGGGCGCGCCAGCTCTCGTCGAGATTAACTGTCGTAGAATGTCGAGTTATCGATCAAGAGCCATTGAACGTAACGGTGAAGACTTCGGCACTTGTGAGTCCAACTCAGGAATGAGATAATAGGAGACTACTGTTTAATTCAGCAGCGTGCGACGCGGCGCACCTCCTCGCCAACACTCTGCCGTCGATCGTTCATCATAGAGTCGTCCGTACTCCTGTCCTTACAATAACGTCAGCATATGTCATCGGCAGCACAAGTGTGAACGTAATCAAACGCGTGATATAATTTTACGTAACGATTCCGTATGTAGACAGCTGAATAATCCGTCCAACTACTTCGACGTCTTGACGGGATTTAATCTCAATATTTACATAACGGATAATATAGACGTTGAAGAGACGAGGGAACACATATTAAGTATTTCGAGGAGCGATTGTGTGTCTCTGTTTTTCAACACAAGTGGTATCTCCTTTCGTCGTTTCAGCGCCGACCTACCTCAACGAGCGATCGCCACGGAACTTCAAATACCACGTTAAATCTTACGCGAGGCGAGTATCACACTCGGACACACTTGGACGCGTATCTCTCCGTTGTAAATGTACGTTTAGATATAACAGAATTTTTTTGAATTAATGCTCCTCGGAGGATGCGACGCAACAGGGACCACCGAATGTCGAGCTCGCGTCCTGTCGCGTTTCGCGCGCCGTGTCCTGTCGTCGGGGATCGATTCTCAGTGGAGCGAGAGGCGGCGCCGCGCGGAACGCGGTGAATCGGTCGCGATGCGCCTTTCCGAATGAACGAGATTGCAAAATGTTGCCGTCGGAAGCACAGATTTATTTCGCGTGATCTCTATATCGCGATAGTGTGCCGCGGGCATGACGGGCATACCGGTTGTTCCCGGTGGCAGCCCGTGAAAAACGAACAACTCTGTAACATTTTCGCAGTACGAAGGAAACAACACTGCCACCGCAAACACTGCCGTCGACACGCCGCCTATGTCGCGTATCGATTGCGTCGCGACGCCCGACGCGAGTCGTCGGTAGCGCCTTCGCCCCGACCAGAGTTCCCCCTGCGAATCATTAGTCCGATCATTATTATAACGAGATGGTTCCTAAACTCGAACAGGCTTTCCATGTGATTCTAGGAAGAATATTCTGTGAATATGTATAATATTTCATACTGATATTTCATACTTGAAAATAAGGATGTACAATAACTTTTGAAAATTTTATTTAATGAAAAAGAAAATGATTTATGTACCTGATAAGTAACGGTGTTCACTATATTTCTTCAATATTGTATATGTATTTAATATATTTAAATTGTTTGTATTTTTGAACGCGTTGCTCAATTCTGAATATATATATATATATGAAATTATTATGGTATATTTATAATATATATATAGATATAAAACCCCATATGCGTACATATATCTTTATTGGTCTACTGGATTCATATAAGATACATTTTTAACAAATACTGCGTTCAGAAAAAAGTTCGGAAAAGATTGCTTACTTACCGCTAATTGTTCTAAAAAGTCTATGAATGTTTTCTGGACAATATTTTAAAATGGTTTACGTTAACATTTACAGTTCCTTAAAATAATTCATGTTATATAATATATATAATATTATATTACAAAATTTTATAGAAATAACTAAAATAAATCTTGTAAAATATTTTATCAATCTTCATCGGAATCCTC